CATTGTTTTGCTTCCACGTTCAATGTTTGATACCCACGCTCTCTTCAAGTAATCGAAACCCTTCCAGTAAGCCTTCACCGTGAGCGCGTGAGTAACTTGTTTTTAGAAGCGCGTTTAATATTTCGTGAAATGAACTCTACAACACAAACAAAATGGAAGTATTTTATATATTCCAATGTTTCACCGAAATTTCCACAGTTTATGTAGGCATTTTTATAATAGTAATAATAATAATTATTATTGTTATTATAATTATTATTATTATTATAATAATATTTATTATAATTAGCGAATTTTCTCTACACATTTTAGTCATATATGTCCTAATCACCATTACATTCCAGGAATTCCCTCACCATTTCGCAGCTGCCTATTATTACTGTTTTTTGCGTTTGCTCTACGTATGAACATGGTAATTCCAATTGAATTGCATACATTTAATTGTGGCAATAATCCTGTGGTGGACATGATATTCGGTTGTATGCCGATAATCTAAAGTTTCCATTGATGGAGAAGATTTTGCGAGAGCAGTACAGTTTCTGAATTTGTGGGTTATAAACAGATTCTAGTTTGTTATTGTTGACGACTGCAAAATTGATTATCATGTCTGTTTTCGTGAGCTTGTTTATAACAATTTTAAATGGCCTATTGTTCATTATTGTGGTATCTGTAACAATGCTTCCTCCTCCCGTGTAGCTTTCATTCTTCATTTTCCAAGACTATACAAGGATGTTATTTGTAATACGGAATATTATAGGGAGTTCGTAGTTTCTTGCTAACCGTAAATACATTATTTTATCTATATTAATGTGCCTAACGTAGGCGATGGAAGCCAACACACCACAACCGGCAAATACGTGCTGGGTGTGTTCGTGATGTGCACGGTACTTCCTACAGTCATCACACACGTGGGTTACGGAGTTACCTGCGTCTCACGCCTTGGGCACAAGGAGCCGCAGAGCCGCAGAACTGGACAAGGCGCAGAGAATCGGCCAAGAAATACGTTACAGAACACACCGACGAACTTGCCCTTTTCAAATATAAAGTAAATAAAGGAACATATGTAAATAAGAAACCTGTTTGCCTGGGATCTACGAAATACATTTTTATACGGAGCAGGCTCGGTACTATTGCAGACCAAAACCATTCTGAATAATTCTGAGGTTATCTTACGGTAATTGTGAGTGTGGCCTGTGATCTGTGATCTGTGACACCACACTTTCCACCGCATTGTGTGCGGGAAGCATAATTCAACACAAAATAACATGTGATTTATAAAGTGAACTTGACTGTTAGGATGAATATTAAAACTCTTTCAATCTAACTATTAAGATTTACTTTTATATATGTTGAATGTCATGCGTTAGTTTTTGTTAATTTTTAAATAAAAACCATTATTTCACTTTCTTTTGGTGTTAACAACTGAACCGACGAATCAAAAATGAAGTTTTATTTATGAACAGACACGCAGAAATGTCTCCATTTCATTTCATTTCATTGCAAATCTTAAAACGAAAATCATGTCTAATTCAGATTATTTAGCAAACAATGATTATTTAAAAAAACAAGGACAACTTTGAAGTTTTTTTTGAGAACATTCTGACTACTCTCAACACGCTTCATGAAGCGTCTGACCCCAATAATTAGAAAATTCATTCCAAATTAGAAAGCCCGCAACATAAATAAGATCAATAAAGAATGTTTGGATATTTTTTTGAAAATTATGTGCACTGTTTAGGTGCCAGTGTGGTTCACAGGCGGACATTTCAATGACATTATATTGATAATTTAATTTTTTCCGGGGTCCTCAACTTCTATACTCATTGGTTCCGTTAATAAGGGCATTTTCTGTTCCGGAAGATGGCGGTGTTCCTCTCTCGCGGGAATAAGAGATACGGCTCCAATCAATACATCGACTTCTGATTTTCCTCTCCAGATTTCTCCTCTAGCAGAGCACCTCCCCAGCCAATACCAACTGTAAGTTTTGAACTCGTCTCGTGAAAGTCGTAGTGTAGTAAAAGGGAGAGAAAGTGGGATGAGTTTGAGAAAGAAAAGATCGCGTGCGTAGCGAACAGCATTTTGATAAAAAAATGTCAAAGGTTTAATAACCCTGGCGATGTCGCAAACGTATGGCCAACTAGCCAACAAAATGACACCAGCCTATTTTATATCAGTGACATTTGTTTATCAAAATTCGAACTGTTTGTTTATGAAGCGGTTTCAACAAACCTGGGCAATAGATTTTTGATAGAGACCCGAAATAGGATCGAAACGTTAAGAAGATAAATAAATTGTTAAAAAAAGTATACTGAGTCTGTTTTATTAAGGTAAATAAACATTGCAATTAAATTTAACTACATTACATTTCGATCATTAGATTGAGCTTCAATCCTCATTTTGTGGGCGGGAGGAACACCAGTCACAACTGATCAGAGCAGCTAATAGCTATTTTCTCTTCCGGAGAGTCGCTAAATTGGAGCTAGCTGTTTTAAAGTGTCGAAAATCGAGACTCAACTCCGCGGACCTGCTGATTAGAAACGTTGCAGTAGCAATAGTTGTTGGTTTGAACTTTTGAAATCGGTGATATTTTTTTAGAAAAAAAACTTTCGGAATATATTGTCCACAATAGGTAAATTTTGATTACCTTATGTGTAGAAATTAATTTACTACTTATAAAAGAAACCAATCTACTATTTTGAGATATCAAGAACTCAGAAAGGCGTTTTTCTGATGAAAATTAACAGATTTTCCAGCAGATTTACATATTTATCTTTTCTTACATAAAGTAGTAAACTAGCAAGTAAAACTCAGACATAATTATGAATAAATGTTGTTCTATAAAAGCAAATTTTGAACATCATACAGAATTCTCTGCTTCCACCGGGTATTCTCCATTAATGCAGAATGCATTGGGTTACCGCTGTATTATTCAGAAGCGTTAAATTACTTGGAGGATAATTACCGTAGCATCTATTGTCTACCAAAGTTGTCATTATGAATGCCGACTGCCTTACCAGCTGACAATGTTGCCACTCAAATCGATAACAATAAAGCAAAATAAACAGGTTACATAATACCAGAAATGCCCATTAGAAGTTCTAAAGGGATGAGACAGAGTGTGGGAGCATCATGTCGTTTCGTTATTCAATTGCGCGCCCAGCCGACAGTTGCAATTCGTCAGTCCGTAATGTGATAACAGCCGAGTCTGTGTCGTTTGCTCTCACAACCACGGAAGTCGTTCTTGAAAGCGATTTGGAAATTGCATTATGAAACTTCGCATTAATTTATGGAAATTTTGTGATCGAGGGAATTGCTAAAATCTCTCAAGAATAATTTCAGTGAATGGCAAGGTGAATTAATGTAGCTAGGGCGATGAAAGCTTCGATCACAAAATATTTATTTGCAATTATAGATAGTATCCTTTACACTTTTGCATTATTTTCTGTTATAAAGTTTTCTAATACAATTCATTGTTAGCAGTTCCAAAGCCCTGCAAAAGATAGTACGCAAAAACAATCATATGTATAGAAAGGGTGGATGTGTTCTAATCAAAAATATTTAAAAACCTTAAATTTTTGTATTGTACATTATTGAATTTTGCATTTGCACAAAATATTTCCTTAAATAACAGTGGATGCAACAAATCTCATTAATATTATTTCACTCTAGATGTTTCTTTTTTTATTTCATAGGAAACTTTGTTTTGAAAACAATGTTAACAAATTTCACATAATTGTAAATACGAAAGCAACATCCTGAACGAAGGTGATAAATTTCTTTATTATGAATAACAAACTTAAAAAGGATTATTTGCACCACAAATGGTTTCAACAAGGCAAGTGAATGTCGCGGAGATATGGTGGAGGGAAGAGGAAAAAAAAGCACTGTTCTGTAATATGATTAGTGACTATGTGCTCGAATGTCTGGCAACACAGTCTGAATTACTCTTTCAGTGTACTCTAAGGTGTGATTATGAGAATTTGCTCTTTCAAGACGGAAATACTTTGATATGTTAATTGCAATTATCTGTGGAAATAAATATACAAGCCTGAAGATAAAATTAAGCGTTTTAGGGAACTATAGTTATATTCTACATTTGTGTCTTAAAGCTGTTATTCAAGTTAAGAAATATACAAGATATTCTTAATACAACGAGATATTCTACCTCAATATTACATACAATTTCCCTAACACCGTGACAGGTGCCTAACATAAAACCATCATTCGATAGCAGTAAGTAAAGCGCAAAATATAAGTGTAAATGCTTACTTCAGTTGGGTTTAAAGACGAAGAAAACATAACATACTTCAGTATAAATATTCACTATATTATAATATTGTAAACAATTATTTCTTGAAATTACCAATTAGTTTTTTTTATTCATAATAAAGAAAACAAATGTAATAATGTCCAAATCATGTCTCTTCACATCTTGCGATGTTTTTCATAAAATTATTTCAGGATGCTGTGATATCAGGTCAGTTATTAGGTCAGGTGGAGGTCCACAGTATTTTTTTCTTCAGGGGGCTTTTCCCAGATTCAGGGAATATCGATATCGACTATCCGCACCGGGTACCCACTACGTCATGGGGACACATATTAACCTTTACACTAGACACTGACACACTTGCATGCTCCTCGGTCTGTGGTCAGCAGACTCGAAAATCCCACGACACCACACAAGGGATTGACTAAAGGAAAGATTAAGTACAAACAAGCATGCTCACGGCGGGATTCGAACTCGCGACCCTTCCGACCAAAGCGCTGCATACGCTGTGGCCACTTCGGCCATTCAGGTCGGTGTGGATGTGCACAGAACACATCTTATTAAATAAGATGGTATGGAAGTTAGTCTTGTTTGTTTTATCAGTTTCATGATTTAATCCCGCCAGTCATTTTCAAACCACTGATGGTATTACTCATGCACCGTGGTATGCGAGAACAAGTATAGAATGTAAGCGCAAGTGAGCGTGGCAGGTGGTGCGAAGCGCTTGACTCACCTTGTTGTCCTTTTGCCAGGAGCAGGTGCCGCGCTTGTTGAACACCTTGCACACCAGCAGCGCGTCCTCCCCGGGGTTCACCTCCGTGTAGCGCGGCTGCTCGTCGAAGCGCTGCAGCGCCATCCCTGCACACACGCACACAGGCACATTTCACTCAACTGGTCATCACCCGGTGCTTCTCACCCGCGCACACCTTTTGATAATCGACACAGGTCCTCTTTCACCGCAACGCGGGAAACGTCTCATCACTATTCATCACTCCCTGATACGTGAGTTTACCCGCTCACCTCTCGCCACTGCTCCTCACCCGTCGCCCCATGACTCAACTAGAGAACGCATCACTCCTGTTCATCAATAACCCAATGCTCTTTACTCGCTCCCTCGGGCACTCCTTTTGTTCATCGCCACTAAGCCCTCACCTGTCGTGCCGCTCGCTGACCCTTGTCATTGTTCATCACTCGCTGCTCATCGAGCTCACCCGCCCTTCTCTCCTCTCTTCTACTCCTCACCCGTCGCCTCCTTCGTACTCGCACACATCCCGCCACTTTTCTTGTGATAATGTGGTTTCATTTACTATTCATTACCCAAAACGGATTTCACGACCCAAATTTGTTTCGTGACAGTACTGTAGAAGTGATGTCCCAGCCCTATGGTATACGCAGGAAACTTAATAAATAAAATATAAATAGCTATTAATGAACCATTACAAATGAAAAATGTTAATAAGGCGCTACTGATTTGTTTCTCCGATCGATAATAAAAATAACAATGAAACCATGAGTAAATAAAACACGAGTTCAAAACTGTCAAACACGATTTTATTATGCACACTGTCAAATGTTGATGCAGGATTACATTTGATAACATGTACCATGGAAGAAATAGACAAGCAAATTAAGATGGCAACGTTCTCGAAACACGGACTGTCTTAAACAAATTCAAAATAAATATGACATTTTAAATTGTTTAAACACACAGTAAAACGTAGTACGGAATAATGCATTTGTCGCAATTCAATAAGAGACAGACGTAGAGCACTGGGATGTAAGGGTCTTCACATCGATTTATGATGTTATTTCTGTAAAATAAACATAAGCCAAAATATTTATAAGGAAACATAAAAACTATCAGAATGTTTCAGAAACAGATTTTTGTCACAGAATAAAAGGAAAGAACTATTATAATGCAATTAAATGTATAAAAATATTATACAGTATTCAATACATACACATCCAAATAAGGTAAAAACTGTTTAAATATCTTTGTATGAGTATATTGTATTACTTTGCTGTTAAAGGGCAATGTCTAATTGACCTACATGAAAGTACATAACATAAGCATTAAGCAAAAGTATTAACATAAAGTATAAATTATATAAACAAACTGAAGAATATAACGTAATACTGTATCAAAAACATATATCTTAAAAATAAGCCAATTTGGACGATTTTATTTCTAATAAAAAACATAAAAAAGTCTTAGAATTTTATGTACAGAATAAAAATAACCCCCTTATCTTTACGAGGATGTAAAATTGAATTGGTTTCAACTCGAGTGATATGCTTACTCTCTTTGATAGTAATGTCTATGTGCATTAAATTCAATTATATGAAGCACAGAACATGCCTTGGTTTCCTTTCCACACTCTCTCTTTTTTCTCTTTCACCTACAAACCAACACGAAGCAAGTTTTGTCTCCTTATCTTCAGTGTTGTTACGTTTACACGTGCACTACAAACATATCTCTCAGGCAAAACCGCACATTCCTTCGTTCCAGTTGACCTGCCGACGAACCAAAGCCAGGTCAGAGCGATCGGTTCGAAGCGTCTCCTGCCAGCCTCAGCGGCGAGGCCTCGAGGGGCGCAATTCCCCAGATTTGTGAGCTGCTCCGCCGCTTTTACGCGCGGGTGTAAAAATATTTCGAGGCAGATAGCGCGCGCCTCGTGGGAGGAAAACATCTAAAAAAATCTCCTTCATGGGCGCCGCGCCAGGATGTCCGGGAGGGGACGAGCGCGTATAAAAAGTTTTCGATTGTTTTGTGTCCGCGCCGGTGTAAAAGCCCCGCACCGCCCCGCTTCGCCTCGCTCCGTCGCGGGCTCTTTGCGACGACGGCTGTCTCAACAATCGATATTTGGCCGGATGGCGGTGATGGTCAGAGGTAGGAGTGGAATAAAATTTGTGTTATTTAATCTAGAAAGATAAACGCAACACATTTATAATATTTGCTTTGGGGCGCCTTAACTGATTGTGTCTGGAAAAACCACCGTCGGATGTACTTCACAGACTTACATGGTGGTTGGTGGGTTGTTAGTGATTCCGGGAGCGTCAACTGATAAGGTCTCTGGTTCCGTATGTGTAGTGCATTTATTTCCTCATGGGTTGGTGGTGATATTCTTCAGCTGTATTGCTAGATCCGGCGCCGACGTACCCTCGGCTAGCCCGGTTTTCCCCAAATAGGTTTCTCCCAGCAGCGGGGCACCGCCCCAGCCTGGACAAGCTCTAAGCGCCCGTTCGGTCTCCTGGCATGTGTAGTGCATGTTAGTGTGAGTGTAAGTAACGGTCAGGATACGAGAAGGAAGAGAAAGGAAAGATCGCGCGCGTTCCGTGACCCGTTTGTTAAAGTATTGCTCCGGCATTCACCTGGTGATCGAAGAAAACATAGAAAACTACCGATCAGAGCATCTGACCGCTAGAACACACTTCTGGACGACTGAATTCGTCCAAGATGACTGAAGCTGAATTTGGCGTATCTATTTAGATAGTGTCAGAAATTCTGCCACTGTCGGGACTCGATCCTAGGACCTCATGGTCAAATGCTCTATCCCGGTCCGACTTTGTATAAGTGTTATAAATTAGTACTGCATGTAGCGAGGTTAATGTAGATCATTTTCTGTCAATGAGTATTTGGTAAAAAATTCATACATATCCGATATCTGCCACTGATTCGTGGTCGGCCCACCCTTAATGTGCATTTCACTGATAGACAAAATATCTTTGACTGCGTCGGAACGTAATCTTCTAAACACCAATGCATGATAGGCTACATATGAATGAAAGCAAAACTTTCAAGAGAAACTTCGTATTATGATATTTCCTATTACATGTTCTCTCACGAAAGTGGTCACATTCGAGCCAAGTCAGTTTTATACATCGTCGGTGACGAACTGTGGCGAGTGGTCATGAGCGGCGGTGGGGAGTGGGCGTCCGGATGGAAGGAACTACGACGAAGAAACTTGTTCTTCGAGAGAAAGATAATTTAGAATGAATGCAATATTGAAAGAACAACTGATTCTGAATGATGCATAATGACTTTTTGTATAACGATGAAAGGTATGAAAAGATTATAAATATTTCAGTACATTCAATTAGTAATTGGAATAATTACAGGAACTCAGCACGTCTGATTTGAGAGCGCAGCATAGTTTGAATTTTGATTTCCAAATGAGAGTTTCATTAGCGGTTATTTTTCATTGGACATGCAGGACAATGCAACTATTGATAATTCGTCACACTCTGAGTCTTCACAGACGCTGAAACACTTTATTATAAATGTTATGAGTTTAAATCATTGTTATTTGTATTAATACTGAAATGTTTTCAACGAAAATGAAAAAGCATTTTAAGTACTCGAAATTTCTTGGTAGAATTTGTCATGAAACGCCTCTAATTTTAGTAAGCTGAGATAATTTGAGGAAAACCTTAATATAACACTACATGAAATGTAGAACATGTAATAATATTATTGCTTATGACTTTTCAACCACACCAAGCGAGAAAATTATTTTGGTATCTATGTGTAGAGGAAATAGCTGTACGTTTGATTATCCACGCGGAACAGTTTGCGTTTAGCTGAGAATGGTTGAACAACTAGGCTGTACCATAAATTCAACGAATAAACCTTCTCAAACCTTGCATACATGTATGTTGTGTATTTGGTTACGTCATGTCTATACTGTAGCGGTCGTTTTCCCTCTGCCGCACGCACATGCTTCACGACTCTCCTCTGGCTGAATTCTTGATGCAGAATACTCGAATTCTTAAGTTTGTAAAGAAATATGAGATAAAGGTTGTAAATTATATAACCTTTCTGTTCTAACGGTCACAGATATAACCGTGCACCTTATCTCCGAAGTATGTCAAAACATTTCAAAACAAGAACGGGAGAAGATAAACACGAGTATAGATCAACCCAGCGGCCGGAGATAGACTGGCGTAGGAACGGCCGCGCTCACGGTGGTGACACAAGGTCTGTTGCACAAGGTACTACTCTACGATCAATCTGCAATTGACCAGAGGAAATAACGAAACGACTGATCAAAACACCCGGCCTGCAGGATTCTCAATGAAGTGTGGCCGACATCGATCCACCTAGTAATTTAGCAGTGAAATTTCCTTACCATCAAGATTCGACGTGCTGGGATAGCTCAGGAGCAACATTTCCATTGGTTCTGCAGCGTCGCTGTTCATGAAGTTCTAGGACTCGAATTCTGATTGTTGCGGACATTCGATACGCACCCTCCATCTCAGTAAAATTCTATCAGGTGGTACCAATCGGGAGTTTTCCGTGGTTTCTCCAATTGAAACGAGCGAATGTCACAAAAGGGATACCAATCAAGCGCGATATCTTTTTCATCCCAGGAGACCAGCAGGAGCTTATAATTTGTCCCAGCTGCGGCAGTGTTCCGCTTGTGGAGATACCTGGAGGAGGAAGCATCAGTGGACTTGGAAGTAAACAACGAACCTACATATCCGTTCTGAACACCCCCATCTTTCCGCATTTAAAACACTCTAAACTTACGTAACTTGACGCGCCAGAAAACACTAAAAATTCTATCTTTTAATCCACTAGGATTCGAACCTAAGAGCACGGGGCTTACAGTTTCTAGTGGTCTCACAACTACCCTTTTACATCGGGTTCGGGAAGGCATTTACAACTGAATGGAAGTCCAGTTTCTTTTAAAAGTGAACATCTAGAGAGCAGACGTCGTGGCCTTGTCCAGATGCTGACGGAGGTTGTCTCCGTCTGAGCGCCAGCCGCGCAACAGCTATGCCGGCTGTTTCTGCTCTGCGCTTCGCTTACAAAGCGCGGGGGCCGGAGCGGGAGCGGCTGCCGCGCACAGGAGACC